AATACAGATAATGTTAACAGAAATGATAAGTATCCCGAAATACAGGTAAGGTAAACAGAAATGATAAGTATCCAGAAATACAGGTAATGTTAACAGAAATGATAAGTATCCCGAAATACAGGCAAGGTTAACAGAAATGATAAGTATCCCAAAATACAGGTAAAGTTAACAAAAATGATAACTATCCCGGAATACAGGTAAGGTTAACAGAAATGATAACTATCCCGAAATACAGGTAAGGTTAACAGAAATGATAACTATCCCAAAATACAGGTAAGGTTAACAGAAATGATAAGTATCCCGAAATACAGGAGAGGTACATAAAAATGGAAAGTAACCCAAAATACAGGCAAGGTACATAGAAATGGAAAGTATCCCGAAATACAGGCGAGGTTAACAGAAATGATAAGTATTCTAAAATACAAGTGAGGTTAACAGAAATGATAACTATCTCGAAATACAGGTAAGGTTAACAGAAATGATAAGTATCCCAAAATATAGGAGAGGTACATAGAAATGGAAAGTAACCCAAAATACAGGCAAGGTACATAGAAATGGAAAGTATCCCGAAATACAGGCGAGGTTAACAGAAATGATAAGTATTCCAAAATACAAGTGAGGTTAACAGAAATGATAACTATCTCGAAATACAGGTAAGGTTAACAGAAATGATAAGTATCCCAAAATATAGGAGAGGTACATAGAAATGGAAAGTAACCCAAAATACAGACAAGGTACATAGAAATGGAAAGTATCCCAAAATATAGGAGAGATACATAGAAATGACAAGTATCCCAAAATACGGGGAAGGTTAACAGAAATGACAAGTATCCCAAAATACGGGGAAGGTTAATAGAATGACAAGTATTCCAAAATATAGGAGAGGTACATAGAAATGGAAAGTAACCCTAAATACAGGCAAGGTACATAGAAATGGAAAGTATCCCGAAATACAGGCGAGGTTAACAGAAATGATAAGTATTCTAAAATACAAGTGAGGTTAACAGAAATGATAACTATCTCGAAATACAGGTAAGGTTAACAGAAATGATAAGTATCCCAAAATATAGGAGAGGGACATAGAAATGGAAAGTAACCCAAAATACAGGCAAGGTACATAGAAATGGAAAGTATCCCAAAATATAGGAGAGGTACATAGAAATGACAAGTATCCCAAAATACGGGGAAGGTTAACAGAAATGACAAGTATCCCAAAATACGGGGAAGGTTAATAGAATGACAAGTATTCCAAAATATAGGAGAGGTACATAGAAATGGAAAGTATCCCAAAATACGGGGAAGGTTAACAGAAATGACAAGTATCCCAAAATACGGGGAAGGTTAACAGAAATGATAAGTATCCCAAAATATAGGAGAGGTTATCAGAATTGATATACAGGCGAGTTAGAAAGAAATGATAGATATCCTAAAATACAGGCAATGTTAATAGAAATGATTTAGTATATTTAGAAAAGTTATTACTGTTATAGCATGTATATGTGCTCGCAAAGTGTTTGAAATGAAAACTGATTTCCAGAAGTCTTGTGAGAAACTCCGTTATCCCTTACAGGTCGTAATAGAGTACTTATGGAGCATCGTGTGTTTACCTATAAACCTCTTAGATACCTGGTATATTATCTTCACCTATCAAAACCTTCCAGATACCTAGTATATTATCATCGTTCTATCACTACTTCCTCCCGGGCGCTTTGCATGCCTATCAGGACCCGCTTTAGTATGGCGATAACGAAGGGGGTAGGTTGTCTACACTCATACTTTGTTACATACCAGAACAGTATATGTACCTGATTCTAGTACCCTGTACCCTGTGTGTGTCTCACACGAGGGGGACTAACAACACGACAAACATGTATGTAGTACGTTAATTCTTCTGTTGTTACCGTGTAAAATATAGAACACGATATTAATAGAATATTTTGCTCGCAATGTATGCAGCAAGGTGCGTTAACCAATGTCTCATCAGTTTTATAAACACAGTAAACGACCGAGAAGGGAGGAGCATCTGTTCCACAAATCAATGGATGCAATGTCTACTTAGTACACTATCTCGATCCACTATAGCGCCGCAACAAATCCTACGGCATTCTCACAAGTCCATGTAAAGTCTGGAGGAATTTTATCAAAAGTACACGGAAACTACAATAGTGTTGGCCTACTAGCAAATAGGTACAAGTGTATTAGGTGACGCGTGCTATCTGTCCTTTATCAGGACTTAAACCATGGTGTTAGCCAACAGCTTCTCCAAGTTTATCTTGGTATAGTTGTAGATAGCGTTTCTTATAAACCGGTTAGCAACATATTAGATCTCTTCAGATTGGAGCTTTCACTCCCGCCTTTAGCATACTGTGATTTACAATGAATATTGCAGTTATTCATCATCTCGATCGGATAACTCAATGTTCTAACTAACTTCCCTATCACTAACATATGATTTATGAAGGATATCAGTTTAATGCCAGTCGGACGTCTAGTGATTAAACTAACCACGATATGGCCGAAATCATATGATAAAAGACTGGCCATAACGAATATTGTCGGACTTAATCCACAAGGGGTCACGTTTCCGCGCATTTTGATGTAATTGAAAGCTGTGAAGAGGGTTTCGACATTACTGAGCTGACACCTAGATTAGAAACACTGTCAGTACCGGTTGTCGTGTTGTGAGGTGTCAACCTACTAATGGAATGGCAGCTCATTTAGTTTCCAACGACGGCGACGTCTTGACAGAAAGAAATTAGATTTGCGAAAAGGTCATCTTGTGAATTACTCGTCTGGAAAATTGTTCTAAAGGATATCAATCTTGGTTAGCGATTGTAGTAATACTTTGACTGTCGCCACGTCTCGGTGTTACTTCCCATACTTATGTCATGATTAATTAAGGTGTCGCCAATGTCAAGGATATCAGATCTCGGGAACATGCTAGTCACTACCTTTATGTACTCAGAAGCTATAATGAATGTCGTGTACGGCTGTCCTGTTTTTTGGGGGGAGTCGAGAGTTTATGCTGTACATCACATGAATAGTGGCCGTCTTTGGCGAGTGCCGACTATACGACCTTGTAGAGCAAAACAGTCTCATTAATGTATCACTAATGATTCATTTCTTTTGCATTGCCACAATGTACTAACCTACTAGTCAGCCGTGACGTCATTACAATTGTGAAGTCATCAATCAGCACGTTGAAGATAGCCGGCCGATACGGGGGAGTTTTATAGAACAAAACATTACAACAATTACTAAACTCACAATAGCAATTTGACCATACATAAAATCATGAGTATTTCCGAACTACCCTGTCTTAGTAACGGACTAAGAACCATTGTAATTGCAACATTTCATACTCCGTATTTTCCAGGAAATGTGTTGTGGAAATTAAATGTATATTTGAACTGATACTGATATAGTGATATTCTGTCTAAGAAAATACCAACGGAACGGTAATTATTTAGATATTTATGACATTGAACACATCAAGGTCGCGAGTGTTCGACTGTTCAAACATAATGTAAAACGTATATATTCGGTAGGCCTATTTGAGAGGTACCAATGATAAACCGTTACCATGACATTGACTAGGTCCCGAAATGTGGACAATACTCCGTCAACACTCTTCGTGGTTCCCTTTTCGGTCTTTGCGTATTGCAGAGTTATCTTCTCTTGGGAGAGGGTATTGATTGTTTCGTCACTTGTTTGTGAGAATAACGTCATCAATTTTTGAGAAAACGACGTAATTTTCTCACACATGCCAATGACGTAACAATCCCAAGAGAAGATAACTCTGCAATAGGCAAAGACGGAATAGACTAATGAGACAGTTACTGACCTGCCTTGTTTGGTATACAAGAAAACTATTAATTCTTGTGACCAAACTGGGACTACTAGAACTCCAAACTACATCAATATTGCATTTTGTTCGGAAAAAGCATGGAATGTGGGGGAGTTTCATGTTAAATCAATTTTGGTCGCAGACTCGCAATAGATTCGCAATTTTGAAACATCCTAGAGACGGGATAAACATCAATGACGTCAAAGATCATGACGTTGATGTGTAAATTAGGAATCCTAAATAATGTGACAGTCCCGCAGTTGTAGTGAAAACATGGTCACTGTTTTAATTTTAATTGATTGCAATCAAGTACAGAATTACATGATTAACTCTAAATAGAATGCAGTTCAATATTAATCTCACATGTATATCAACGTAATGACTATGACGTCACAACTCTAATGATGTCACGATTAACTCGCAGCCGACTGGCGAGTTCACATATAGATGGAATGCAAAGCAAATGTAAATATTTTAGCATTAATCTTCATTTTATTAAGAGTTATCCCTTTGTAATTCAGAACAGGTTTGTATGCATATCGAATAACGCGTGTTATGAATATTTGTCTGTAATCCGGCCTATTCAAAATTACAGGACTAAAGTGATTGTATTATAAATCACAACAGACTTTGGTAAATTGATATTCTGGCTATACAGGGGAAATGTAAATATGGTCGGTCAACAAGGATAAAATTACAATGTGCAAAGGGTGACCGGCAGTGTTTTCGCTTAACATTTGGGGCAAGAGTAGTCATGTATGTACGCACAGGTACATTTACACAATTAGGGTACCCTCAACTCTCACATTTGAGACATTTAAGTGCACCATTGACCTGTATGGTGTACATTCTGGGTCGTATAATGTAAATGATATTGACCATGTGTTGGATCTGACGGTACATCTGACCGTGTTTGTCAGGCAGTGATGGATTGGCCGGCCCAGCTCTGGGTAAACTGTTCCCTGATCTGACCACCCTTATCACAGAGTTGTCGATATAAACCTCATTTACAGGCCAAAGTTACGATAATATTTACTTTCTATCTCGACTATCATTTGTTATCCGCCCGATGTACGGATGTACTACTGTTTTTGTAATCCGTTATCGGTGTGATAGAATTGACAGGACACAATCAACAACGAAACACGACAAGTTTACAATAATGATCCTTTATCAGACTAAAAATTTCATGTATAATTTATTGTGTTTCAAGGGTCCATATTAAATATAAATATTATCAAACATCTCTTTTTCTTAAATAATACGAACATTAAAATGTGTAGAACAATGTATTTCGTCCACCTGACAATCGGCGTTTTCACGGCGTTTTCACAATATTGTTTCCAGTTCTGTCGCATCACACTTCTAACTACTAGGACGCAGGCCCCTGGTGGATGTCATCAAGTTTCACGATGTAAGGATGCCAACTATGGTAGTTCATAGCGGGAAATTCAAGCCTACTTTGAAAATTGTGGTACACGCAAGCGTTCCACGGTACAATAGAGACAACAGATAATGATACACATATCTTACCAACTGTTGAAGTCCGACTTAAACCGCACGTCCATGTCTTAAGCTGCAGAATAATAAAACAGCATCACAAACAACCAAATTGAAATTAAAGAATGAATAAATCGTCAGTTGAATGCCGACTCACATTTGTCACACATGTACGAAACCTGGGCCAATATATTCCATTCTGAATAATGCAACTTAATTACACCAATATTTATCCGAAATGCTGCACTGCCGTTCTATTCCTCCGGTCTACACATGTATCCCCTTTCCATTATAAACATATATCCGTTGTTCAAGAATGACGTGATGATGACGTAATTCCAAAAACACAAAGGCATTTTATTCGTTAGTGATATGTATTGGTGTCTCTCGTGATATACCGTCTCCGCCCAGGTGAATCGTCGCCACGAGAACGCTTGCTTGTTGTGACCTCACAAGCCTCGATCTAACGTTGATTTTCGCCTCGTTTTTGATTCGCAAGCAGCCACTGTCACGTGTAGTCACATCGCAGCTCATGCTTACACAAAGCACCGTTTCAGTGGTAACGTTGAAGTTTCCATTTCAGCATAGGCCTTTGTATGGTTACACTGTAGTTTCTGGAAAATATCAAACGTTAATATTAATTCGTTATACTAAGTAATGTGTAATGCGATTTTGTTAGGACGACATGTACGTTATAAATGCATGCATCATATATCGTTTTCAAAGATGTTTTTTTTTTAATCTATGAAGGAATTTCATGTGTAAATCATTATCTATTTATCATTGTATCGGTTACATCACTGGGTGTATACATGTAAATATATATTTATGCTATATACATATATCATTAACTGTAATATTTTGTTCTCAAATGTGAGCTACAGGTTTCAGTCAATAAATTATGTCGGAGAATAAACTCGTGAGACAGGCTATCAATAAAATTTCTCAAGTCTGATTTATCCAAAAACCCATATATACAAGCAAAACTCTGTTACAAAAATATTTGATTTCTTTTTTTCGAGAGAAATGCGATTCAATACCTCATGTTAATGTGACGTCACAAAGTCTGACGTCACACCGCGTGATGTTACGCGAAAATTAGAAAACGAGCTAGAAGCAACCTGCAGTAGTCAGGTAGTTATGAGATAAATTGTGAAAACCGGTCTATATTACTGGAGTTAATGTTTTGTCAAGATTAGATATCAAGTATGTTTTAACAGTCACTGAGCTATGCACGTCACGTGTATTGGATGTCGACAAGCGGGATTCTCCTGCGTTTCTGTCACAAAACATGGCGCACAGGTGTACAACCTAACTGTTTATAGGTGACCGACACCTGACCTATCTACCGACGAAAACAAAATCCGGCAGAATTGTTTTAACAAAATCCAAATTAAACAAACAAACAGAGCTGTTTTTATTATTTTTAGATTGCTGTTACGATCATATTGTTTACGGATGAAGACAGATTCGCTGGTAGTGCACTGTATAATATCGTCCGAAGGTGAGGTTTCTGTGACTGTATAATGGTATAGAATACATGTGTTATAGTGTTTGGGCCAACACAGCTTGTGTCTATTTTATGTACATTCTGTGTTTGGAAACATTAACATTCCAAGCTACGGATGGGTGACCCTGTAAGGCCATGGCAAAACTGTTTCCGCCTGCTTTAATGTGGATTATTTTTCAAGCACAAAACAATCGTAACCATACAAAAAGTATAAGGACTTGAATGCCATTTAAACCATCCTCAGTTCACACGTAAACAAAGTAAGTCGGGCTATATACGTGTATGGAGAAATACAATTTGTTCGTATGTACGGCCGCAGTAGTGTACCTTTAACAGTAGAGGGAAAACGCAACGGGGTCGCAATGGGGTTCAAATTCACGCACACACATCGTACAGCGAGCAAAGTTATTCTTCAAGCTGAAGCAAGTATGGCGACACTAAACATGTCAAGTAAAAACTATATTTTACACTGTAGTGTACAGTCACTGTATACATGACTTGTGTCTTACTATTGAGTCATTACTTAATTGAGCAACTGTGTCTAACTGTAGTCTTTTTGTGTAACCTGTTTGAACGGTCTATGTGATGATTTTGTACGTGATGTCAGGGTGGATGGTTGTGTACGTGCTGTCAGTTTGGATGGTTGTGTATGTGCTGTGAGTTTGGATGGTTGTGTACGTGATCTCCGTTTGGATGGTTGTGTACGTGATATCAGTTTGGATGGTTGTGTACGTGCAGTCAATGTGATTGTTTTGTTCGTGCGGTTAGCGTGGATGGTTCTGTACGCGCAGTCAATGTGATTGTTTTGTTCGTGCGGTTAGCGTGGATGGTTCTTTACGTGCGGTTAGCGTGGATTGTTCTGTACGTGCAGTCAATGTGATTGTTTTGTTCGTGCGGTTAGCGTGGATGGTTGTGTACGTGCAGTCAATGTGATTGTTTTATACGTGTGGTAAGCGTGGATGGTTCTGTACGTGCGGTCAATGTGATTGTTTTATACGTGTGGTAAGCGTGGATGGTTCTGTACGTGCGGTCAATGTGATTGTTTTATACGTGTGGTTAGCGTGGATGGTTTTGTACGTGGATAGTTGTGTACGTGCTGTCAGTTTGGATGGTTGTGTACGTGCGGTTAGTGTGGATGGTTGTGTACGCGCTGTCAGTTTGGATGGTTGTGTACGTGATGTCAGTTTGGATGGTTGCGCATGTGCTGTCAGTTTGGATGGTTGTGTACGTGCTGTCAGTTTTGATGGTTGTGTACGTGATGTCAGTTTGGATGGTTGTGTACGTGCTGTTAGTTTGGATGGTTGTGTACGCGCAGTCAATGTGATTGTTTTGTACGTGAGGTTAGCGTGGATGGTTCTGTACGTGCGGTCAATGTGATTGTTTTGTACGTACAGTCAAGGAGATTGTTTTATACGTGTGGTAAGCGTGGATGGTTCTGTATGTGCAGTCAATTGGATGGTTGTGTACGGGCTGTGAGTTTGGATGGTTGTGTTCGTGATGTCAGTTTGGATTGTTGTGTACGTGCAGTTAGTGTGGATGGTTGTTTACGCGCTGTCAGTTTGCATGGTTGTGTACGTGATTTCAGTTTGGATGGTTGTCTACGTGCTGTCAGTTTGCATAGTTGTGTACGTGCTGTCAGTTTGAATGGTTGTGTACGTGCGGTTAGGGTGGATGGTTGTGTACGTCATGTCAGCTTGGTTGGTTGTGTACGGGATGTCAGTTTGGATGGCTGTGTACGTGCTGTTGGTTTGGATGGTTGTGGACGTGCAGTTAGCTTAGATGGTTGTGTACGTGCAGTTAGCGTAGATGGTTGTGTCCGTGCTGTCAGTTTGGAGGGTTGTGTACGGGCTGTGAGTTTGGATGGTTGTGTCCGTGATGTCAGTTTGGATTGTTGTGTACGTGATGTCTGTTTGTATGGTTGCGCATGTGCTGTCTGTTTGGATGGTTGTGTAAGTGCAGTTAGCGTAGATGGTTGTGTCCGTGCTGTCAGTTTGGAGGGTTGTGTACGTGCTGTTAGTTTGGATGGTTGTGTCCGTGATGTCAGTTTGGATTGTTGTGTACGTGATGTCTGTTTGTATGGTTGCGCATGTGCTGTCATTTTGGATGGTTGTGTACGGGCTGTGAGTTTGGATGGTTGTGTAGGTGCTGTCAGTTTTGATGGGTGCGTACGTGGTGTCAGTTTGGATGGTTGCGCATGTGCTGTCAGTTTTGATGGGTGCGTACGTGGTGTCAGTTTGGATGGTTTTGTACGTACAGTCAAGGTGATTGTTTTATACGTGTGGTTAGGTGTACGTGATGTCAGGGTGGATGGTTGTGTACGCGCTGTCAGTTTGGTTGGTTGTGTACGTGCTGTTAGTTTGGATGGTTGTGTAAGTGCAGTTAGCGTAGATGGTTGTGTCCGTGCTGTCAGTTTGGAGGGTTGTGTACGTGCTGTTAGTTTGGATGGTTGTGTCCGTGATGTCAGTTTGGATTGTTGTGTACGTGCAGTTAGCTTAGATGGTTCTGTGCATGCGGTTAGCGTGGATGGTTCTGTACGTGCGGTCAATGTGATTGTTTTGTACGTGCAGTCTATGTGATTGTTTTATACGTGTGGTAAGCGTGGATGGTTGGGTACGTGGTGTCAGTTTGGATGGTTGCTCATGTGCTGTCAGTTTGGACGGTTGTGTACGTGCGGTTAGTGAGGATGGTTGTGTACGCGCTGTCAGTGTGGATGGTTGTGTACGTCATGTCAGCTTGGTTGGTTGTGTACGTGCTGTCAGTTTGGATGGTTGTGTACGTGCAGTTAGCTTAGATGGTTCTGTGCATGCGGTTATCGTGGATGGTTGTGTACGTGCAGTCAATGTGATTGTTTTGTTCGTGCGGTTAGCGTGGATGGTTCTTTACGTGCGGTTAGCGTGGATTGTTCTGTACGTGCAGTCAATGTGATTGTTTTGTACGTGCGGTCAATGTGATTGTTTTATACGTGTGGTTAGCGTGGATGGTTCTGTACGTTTGGTCAATCTTATTGTTTTGTACGTGCAGTCAATGTGATTGTTTTGTACGTACAGTCAATGTGATTGTTTTGTACGTGAGGTTAGCGTGGATGGTTCTGTACGTGCAGTCAATGTGATTGTTTTGTACGTGCAGTCAATGTGATTGTTTTATACGTGTGGTTAGCGTGGATGGTTCTGTACGTGCAGTCAATGTGATTGTTTTGTACGTGCAGTCAATGTGATTGTTTTATACGTGTGGTAAGCGTGGATGGTTCTGTACGTGCGGTCAATGTGATTGTTTTATACGTGTGGTTAGCGTGGATGGTTTTGTACGTGCAGTCAATGTGATTGTTTTATACGTGTGGTTAGCGTGGATGGTTTTGTACGTACAGTCAATGTGATTGTTTTATACGTGTGGTTAGCGTGGATGGTTCTGTACGTGCGGTCAATCTTATTGTTTTGTACGTACAGTCAATGTGATTGTTTTATACGTAAGGTTAGCGTGGATGGTTCTGTATGTGCAGTCAATGTGATTGTTTTGTACGTGCAGTCAATGTGATTGTTTTGTACGTGTGGTTAATGTGATGGTTTTGTACGTGCAGTCAATGTGATTGTTTTGTACGTGTGGTTAGCGTGGATGGTTCTGTACGTGCGGTTAATGTGATGGTTTTGTACGTGCGGTTAATGTGATGGTTATGTACGTGCGGTTAATGTGATGGTTATGTACGTGCGGTCAGGATGGATGGTTCTCTACTATTTTTCTGTAAAGTGAATAGTATGTTTGTATACACTCAGTTGGGATATGATATATGTATGTATGTGTTGATTAAACGCCATCTGTCCGTCTGGGAAATAAAAGGTCCGTGCTCTACCTGTTTTGTTACTCGTGTATATTCTAAATGTATACACCACCAGTGGTTGCTTGCTTTTGTCAGTTGTAGAACGTTAATTTGACTTTTTAATTATAAGGCCTGTCTGTATATAGCTATAATTCGGTCTAATAAAAGTTCGATGTCACGTGACGTGTAATAAGAATCATTGTACCAAGTGACGAGACCAAGTTGAGGAGGTTTTTTTTCTCTATACTAACATTGTAATAAAATATTTCATATATGTTATTTACCCGTCGTTCGTAAAGCTAGCCAATAGTTAGAATTAAGCATCCATTATGTACATCGCGTAGTGACGGAAAATGTCCGTGAACCAGTTTGTTAACACCTGTGTTATGAAATGCGTTATAAGAAATGGTTAGATATATACCATGATAGAATGCGATGTTTTAAACTGTTAGGTAAATATCACTGAGAGAGGTTATTTTACATGTGTTGGTGAATTATATATGTATATGATAGAAAAGTATTTAATGTGTTCACATAGCTTCGGATTTTTATGAATATCACCGAGACTCGTTTCATATAAATCTATAGTATAGAAACTCGATAGGGAAACTATTTAGAAACCTTTTTAACTCGGTTGAAATATGTATTATGTAATATTAATCACAATATTATGTTATGTTTTAAAGTACGCTGTTAGTCATGTAATTGTGAAGACCATAAAAATGCAAACATTTAAAATAGATGTATTCTTCGTAACGAGTACATGTTGTAATGCACAGTCATTTCTAATGCTGGGTATCAAAGTTGAACAATATGCCATGTGAAGTGGGTGGCGTGGGTGTAAATATCTGTCAAAATAAACCGCACCAGCGTCAATTAAATCAAAATGAGTTCCCTTTTTGTAACGCACCAAGCGTTCACGTAAATACAAGCACTTGTTCCGAAACGTAACTCGGCAAAGCAGTTGAATATTCATGATGTAAACATCCGATTGCAATGCATGATAACCCTATATAGTATACCTATGTACGCATATGACCATGGCTAATAACGCATGTCCAGTATAAAATAACAGTCTACCACAGCTGGCTAATTACTAGATCTGTTTTCGACAGAATATCAAAATGTTATACCACATTTTATTCACTCTCACAGAATCGTCTCAAGAAAACACGAACGAATCTAACGACATTGAAAAAGAGAAGGAAAAAGTTCAAACTATTAAAGATATGTGCATGATATCCAGACGACTTTTAGTACCGGTAAATAAATAAAAGTTCAGATCTGATCTAATTATGAGTGTTAGAGTTTCCTTCTGTACACACTTCGACAATTAGTTATGGGTCATGAAATGACGTTGAACAACCAACAATAATTAATACAAAACAAACGACTCTACTAGACAACAAGAAAAGACACTATAGTTACGGTGGGGTTTTTTTTGTATTTGAACTGCTTCCTATTAATTTAAAACCTATTTTCTACACATCCACGTGAACAAGGAGAAAACAGCAACAGCTACCAGTGCTTACCACATTAAGCGTGACATCTTTCATTTACCGGATGTCACATATGCGGCCATGATATATGGCGCATCGCAGGCTAATCTAATCAATAAGAAGGCAAGAGAGACAGCACAACATATCGATAACTTTTGCCTTTTGTTAATGCCCATTGCGCGTCACAAATGTTTGCAGCCAGAAGACAGTTTCTAGGAAACGGGTTTAGCACTGGGAACACTAAATTGTATGTGACCTTTCCTAGGCAGGGTAAGAAATATCGACCCACACTTGAACCGCTGTCGGATGAAGGAATGATATACACAGCTAAATGTCGCACGAATTTTGGGGTAATAAAGTTCAATTTAATGTCTTTGCTTCCGTTTATTTTTCGGTTGGTAATTTGGTGTCGGTGTTTCATTTCCAGCATTTTGAGACAAAAATAAAATAAATTCATGGCGAATTGCTTTTTGGCACAAACCGAGAAGTACACGGATAAGTTAATGGTTTACTGTATTGTTCGCTGGTAAATTGTCTAAGCTTGCAATTGCATTACCAGAATTATATAACAAGTTGCTGGCAGTCTAAGGTTAACACTACTTTATATATTTAACATATTCATTCCCCTGAACAAGATATTAGGTTGATTACTTGTACAGTGACGTTGGCGCGCATTGAGATATTGTCCCAAAAAGCAGGTACTTTGGGCTGGAGACTTTATAACACCGAATAAGTATTTAAATAAATAAGAAAACAATTCTTGCATAAATATTTGATATAAATAACTCTCAAATACAAACATTGACCAAGCAGTAAGCCAATTCCCTGAAGTATATAGCGGATGAACATGACCTCGTGCCGTCTACAGAATGAAGAATTGGCGATATCTCTGTCATGAATACATACAATATATATACTATGGTTCACTGGATTATCTTCACGAAGCGACTCGTGTTCAGATAAGATTAATATCTGCACGGCATGTCAGTATATATCAGAAAACTTTCGAAGAAATAAAACTTATAATGCTAACCCACAGTGTAGTAGGTACCGTTAGGTGTGTATGTATTCCCCTGTCAGTATATAGACATACGGAAGGTGCTGATGCGTGTCCTACAATCGATACAGCTCTATATGGAAAACCCCATTCATCAGGGAGATAATCGGGGCTAATTCCCCCGAGAATCGTGTCGCTACCGTCTCCCGGAGGCCGAGACGAGACCAGTCCAAATCTAATTATGTCTACGTTGGACCCAAATGAAAACCAAACAAAACCGACATTGCAATGATGACAGCCATCATTGGCGATCAGCGCGCCACACGTGGACAGAATTTTCACTGTGGAAATTGTAAATCTCAGTTGTTTGTTTCGTAGATGTGTGTTTCGTGTTTAAAGCCTTGCTTGATATTTTGGTGCATGAAGCTAATATGGGGCGTGCTTATTTTAGTTTGAAACTGGAAATGATTTCTACATACGACTACAAACAATTAAAATTTTGTTATACAAATTCGATTATTGCATAATATTCTGTGGAAACAGAGTTTACTTTTTAGAGTTACTTGTGAACGCATTATACGTTTTTCTATGACCATTTACTAGAACGATTTTAGACATATAAATCCCTGCATCAAATCAAGCAGTTTATATTATTATGTATGTAGTACGATAGCATAGTATGATGGGGGGAAAACTGTTGTTAATTGTATTATTATTATACAGACTTAGTGTATGCTATAGTATGTCTGAATCTATTTATAAACATGTCACATGACCGGGAAACAAAACCTAACGCATCCAGGAAACACATAATTCCTTTTTGAGAAATATGACGTTGTTTTTGCTCCAGATATAAAAGTAACATCACAAATGACATATATTGTTTAATATTGCCCTGGAAGTAAGGAGATATGGATGTTTGTTTCCCTCATTGAATCAAATACTATTCACTTCATAGAGAATTCATTCATAGCATCCGACTTCCTGCACAACAAGTGTATTATATATCAAGTGTCTAATGTAAAAGGTTCAAAGCAGCAACAACTAGTATGAAAATCGACTTTTGCATACTGAAATAAATCATAGAACGTGTGTATTCAGAAGTTTATAGAAAGAGCCATCCTACAATATACAATATATAGATTATAACAATAAGTGGGGAGGGGGAGTGGAGTGTGGACCGCATATCATATTGATATGTGCCTTTATTCTGCGCTGTTTAGCAAGTATTAATCCAATGCATTAACAAAAAGTTAAAACAGGAGGATTTAAACACGCTTTTGTGTATCTTATATGGTGTTGAACTGAGTAAGTCGCGTGACAAATTCAACATAAGATGCTTCAAAGCTTAATTTGTTCAAGACCGCTTCCATTCATTTTCCCATGAAAACGACAATAACAATAGTCAAGCCTTTTAATTCATATGACGTCCTGAAGATACAATGCTATAAATCCATAATGCCTATATGACGTCATGTCGAGACAGACATTAATATATACAAATGTACATGTAATATGACGTCATATCGATACCTATACATCTATCTACTTAGCACCCTGTGTCATGTCGAGACAATAGACGTAGTATGGCTTCGTGCCATTCAACATTCCTAATTGGACGTGATAACATAGATTGAAGAGTATGTCTAGTTAGGGAATGACGTCATATGGAGACAGAATAAAAAAAAAAATGCCCCGGAAAGAGAAGTAAAATTAATTAAAAACCTGATTAATCAGTCGTAACATATAAATTAAGTGAAGCAAAGCGAACGTAACTAGAACTACTTTCAATAACAGTACAATGCAGGGTTACAGTGGATAGATTCAGTCACCCAGAGCGTACGGTAAGCACCACCACCAACCACCACCAAAAGCAGAGTGAAAAGAGGCGATTTGCAAGAAATATGTGAAGCGCTGTAGAATATATTTATAATTTAGCCGATGATGTTATTTCACTTACCGACAGACGAACTGTTAACCTCCTCTGCGATAACAACACAATAAAACAAATTATGCTTCATATTCAAAACTGTACATCAACTGTTAACGTTTGCTGAAGACCAGTATTAACAATACAACCCTGATCATTTTTCAAAGTAAAAATATACCAAGACATGTGTTATTTTGTCTGGTTTTAAATTTTATCACAAAAATACCTAAATCGAAAAAGTCGAACCTTAATTTATCTCCAATACGAAAGAGTTCCACTCTGAACATATGTACACACTATCTGTTGTGACTGTTAGTTTTATCTAGGTCATTTAATTGGTGACACACTTAAAGCGTGATAGTAAAATCCAAATCATTCCGTTGAATTAAAATTCAAATCATTCCATAAATCAAATATCCTTTATAAGAGGTAGGAGGTAGGGGAACGCTGACACTAATCACAGGTGTAATAAAGCATATAAATGAACAAATGAATGGTACGTGGATAATCCACGATGAAGGCGACCGTAGCCATTCACACATGGTCTTTGCATTATAAATATCAATTCACTGAAATGAGTTACAATATGAATACATTTGTAGCTTCAGCAAATATCGATGTGATCATAACATGAAAATGTTATAGGCAAAAACTGGGGAAACATTGATTTATAAGGAAATAAAAGTTATCTTTCTCTATAAACTACACGTAGTTGCTATTTCATTGAAAACTTTTACAAGACATGACTAAAACATGAACTTGCATTTCAACTTCATTAGAAAAAACCATTTATGGGATGCTTACAGTAAGCACTACAATGGATTGTATTTGGATAGACTTTAAACCAATACCTGGCTGAAATTACAACCCTAAACACAGATAGTCCATATATATGTCATATTTACCTTTCCTACTCTTGACGGGTTTTGCGGGGACAGGCGGTTTGATGGACGGTTTGAGTTTCTCTGGCTCCACAGGTGGCGCTACCGGTGCCGACTTTATAGAGGAACTTTTCTGTTTTTTAAAATGAGAGAAGAATCCCTTTTTCGTCGGCGTAGTTGGCTTTTCTTGGCTGGCTTCCTTATTAGTCAAAGACGCCGGTTTTTCTGGAGGAACCGGTTTGACATTTGTAACCTCAGGTTCACTAATTCGCACGCGACCATTTTTCACTCTGCTCTCTTCATCCCTACTGCCTGTTGTGGTACCATTCGTTGGCGGTTGGTCAGCGTGTGTCACCTTGAGTATTGGATGGGGAGCTGATGATGTCACTGGAGACGTAGCAGGGTGATCTGGTACATCAGGTGACGGAAGAGGAGATATTTTTTCAGATTTGGTACTAGGAGATTTTTTTACGGGTGATGTCTTCTTTTTACCAGTTTCAAACATAAGTCTTAGTTGTGAGAAAGGCACGACCGGTATCGGCATGAGTTCTTTAGATTTTTCTTTTTTCCGTAATCTGTCACTAGGTAATCGGAAGTTCATGGGGGGCAATGGGGATTTTTCCGGCGTAACAGGGAGTTTAGGTGCACGAAGAAACCTATTTGCACTCGACGGTGTAACTCTGGTCTTTATCACGACAGCACCGGAAGTGGGACTAATAGAGGGACAAGGACATGACGTTGTGGACATTGCATACCCTATGGAGTTGAGTGTTGACGTCGAGTCTCGTCGTTCAGAGAAAAGACTATACGTACTTCCGCTCCGCGAAACACTCGACCTTTTGTACCAATCAGGGACGTTAAGCTTCTGTAGAGATTTAGCAACGCGAATCTCGTGTATAGACGGCACACGCTTAAGACTTCCGTCTCCCTCAACTTCCTCGTCGATGTCCGTTTCCAACGCCATGAGACTTTTAGACTTTGGCATGTTTCGGTCGGCGAATCGACCCTTCCTCACCTTTTGTTCTTCCAGATTTCTTGACGTTATCATGTCACTCATGCTTGCAGTTCTTTGTAAAGGTATATGCTGAAACCCAAACATATCAACGTCAGTTTCGTGAAGGAAAAATGTTTCAAACGTTTCACCAGAGTCAATATCTGTTTCCACCAATGACGAAACAGACCCATAACTGAGCAAAGGTTCGTGTAATTGATCTATAGATTCTGTGGTTTTTTGTATTTCTTTGTGTTTATGAGCCGAGAACATACAGTCTTTGTGAAGGGTGTCGAACGCGGGTTTTTCGAACGAGTCGTCACTATTGTGCCGCGGGGAATGCATACTGCTTAGATTATCTACACGCTCAAAGCTCAATATGCGGCGAGTTTTTTGAGCTGGCGTTGTCTCGCGACGCGTATAAATACGTTGTCTCGTCGGCGTTTTAGACACGGACATTTTGAAGTGCTCGAACTGCGAGCTCACGTTGTCCGTCAGATTATCAGCACTGAGAAAGCGGTGTCGAGAGGACATGATCTTTTGGCGAATAACGGGTAGCGGATTTTTGTCGGGTGTCCGTACGACCGGTGGAGAAGGGTTTATCACAACAGGTTCAGTGAGCACGGATTTGTATTGCTCAGGTTTGCGAACGCGCGAACGTTCCTGTTGTTTACTGATTTTCGCTTTTATACCCTTTAACCCGGAAGGACTAACAACAGACGTTCGAACAACCCAACCAAACGTTGGCACAACTGGAATATGTTTGTATTCGTTGGATGCATCTGAATCCGTCGCTTTTTCTTGTTTTTCAACTTTTTCTGTTGAAGACCGTTCATGGTCTACTTCCGGCTGAAGTTTAGTAGGAGAATTCACTGACTTTGTGTACTGCTCTATACACGGAGCTATTGCACTTTCAAGGTCGTCCAATGTACTGGAATTAATCACGTCTGATCCTGCGGGGTCACCAATAACAGATTCATGTTTTGTTTCACATTTAGTCGCAATCGGCAGCGAAGTCGACACGTCATCAACAACAAGATTGCGTATCTCAGCCTTCGGAATTATGTCCGTCTCCCTTGTCAGATTCACTGGAGATTGTGTTTTGACTGTTTGTGGTGAAATATATTCAACCGAAGATGCAATGGATCGGTTTGAGGACAATATATCGTCGATGATTGTTTCATTAATAGTAGATTGTTTTGAAGGTGAAATATCGTCTGAGACTGTTTCTCTCCTCAATGATAAAGGCGACACGTCGTCGATGGCAGTTTCTTTTGTATTGTATGTAGGTAACCGATCGTGCATGGCAGGCTCTTCTTGTTCGCGTATTGAAGGAAATATATTGTCTATATCAGTTTCTTTTCTATATTGCGGGTTTGAACAATCGTCAATGACGGTTTCCTTCGGCGTTTTAGTCTCTCTGATGTATTCTTGTTTACTGTTTGGAGCAAACACCTGATCGATTACAGTCGGCGGCGGTGTAATATCGTCGATCACAGTCTCCTTTTGACGGTTTGATGGTGATATGTCATCGATAACAGTCTCCATTTGACGATGTGACAGTGATATATCATCGATAACAGTCTCCATTTGACGATGTGACGGTGATATATCATCGATAACAGTCTTCATTTGACGATGTGACGGTGATATATCATAGATAACAGTCTCCATTTGACGATTTGACGGTGATATGTCATCGATAACAGTCTCCATTTGACGATTGGACGGTGATATATCATCGATAACAGTCTCCATTTGACGATGTGACGGTGATATGTCATCGATAACCGTCTCCATTTGACAGTTTGACGGTGAAATATCGTCGATCACAGTATCCTTTTGACAGTTTGACGGTGAAATATCGTCGATCCCAGTATCCTTTTGACGATTTGACGGTGAAATATCGTCGATCCCAGTATCCTTTTGACAGTTTGACGGTGAAATATCGTCGATTACAGTCTCCTTTTGACGGTTTGACGGTGAAATATCGTCGATAACAGTCTCCATTTGACGATTTGACGGTGAAATATCGTCGATCACAGTCTCCTTTTGACGGTTTGACGATGAAATATCGTCGATCACAGTCTCCATTTGACGATTTGACGGTGAAATATCGTCGATCACAGTCTCCTTTGGACGACATAACGTCGAAATATCGTCAATAACAGACTCCCGAGTTTCGATTGTTGACATCAATGCCGGTACAATGCTTAAATCGGTTTCATTGTGTTGCCCATGAACTTTCGTATGATTTCCCTGGTCATGTTCTGTTTGGTCGATATTCAAATCACTCTCATTGATAAACAACTCCACGGTAGATACATCATCACAGCTACCACTTGCGTTACGAGATTCAATTCCTTGTGGACAGACATCTGTTACGACACTAAATTGTCTATTATCCGGAGATAATCCACTTTGATTAGGAGAAAAACTATTGCACTGTATCCCGGAGTCTTGTTCCTCATCTATATGCAATGCTTCGTCCAAACTTTCTCGAGAACTTTGTTCTATCACATTCTCCTGCAGACTACGCATGCGTATATCACCACTTCCTGTCATATCAGCTGAGCTGAGGTCTGAGTGAGAGTCACTCGTGCGATCATTGTCCGACATGTCCTGCGTATTATCTAGACTCGCACTAATTCCCTTTGACTGCTCGAGTTGGTTGTGCTCAAACAATAAATCATTTTTTAAACTTTTGTTGAAGTCAGAATCGTTTTCTCTGTCATTGTCTCTTATCAGAGAGCCCGATCTATTGCACGCCGACCGATCAATGGCATCTGGTATCAGGTCTCTATCTGACAAATCCTCCTCGGAAACGTGTGGTTTGTCTCCGTGTACACCGTTCACACCATTCATAACACACGGCACATCTGTTTCTACAACTCCATTGGTAATACTTCCGGTATCTGTTACATGCTCATTCGGAGCATATTCGTCCTGTTCATTAATTGTATTGTGAATGTAAGTTTCTGTCGGACTTGGAACCCTGTCCTCTGTGAAGTACCTAACACGGTGATCAGTATAAACCTCCTCTGTCTTTGTAAATACCACAGACTTGCCGTCCTCACCTGGCTGAACGTCGTACCCGTCATTAGAAGGATTCAGACCAAGCGCGTCCAGATTTGTCACCGTGTCCAATTTCCGAAGGTGACTTTGATCACCCATCACAAGAAAGAAAGAGTCCTCATCGGAATCATGATCAAATTCAAACTCGGCAAAGTCGTCTTCATAAGGATTGTACTCACGTGGTTCTACGTCATCGTCAGAGCTGTTGACGTAATCCTCTATATTCGTCGATATGTTTTGAAAACGTGGCACAGTATCAACATTTGTGTCTGGGATCGATGAAACCGTAAACTCATCCTCATCCTCATCAATGTTTTGGTAACTTATAACACTGACATTGCTGCTCTCGGGAATGCTTGTGTTGACACTTTCCAGCTGTTCGACACATTCTTGTCCTAATGGAGTAAAGTTGACAGAGTCTGGATCACTGAATTTGCCGCCTGAGTAAGATTCCTGGTCACGTGGGTCTTGATCAGTATCGCCATCGTCCTCAACGGGGTCCTCACCCTCCTCAGGGATGCTAGCTAATTGGGACAGAGCGAACATTTCGTCGTCGGAGAGTGTGTTACCGGTGCCTGCACCGTCCTTATCCACCCTATCACTGGGGTCCCGATCGGTGTCTCCTTCTGTTCGTAGGGCAGATTCCTCTGTGGTAGGGTGTTTTATACCTACAATTAGTGTAGAGTTTGGGGTTTCATGTACCTCACCTGTAGGCGGTAATAATTCCTCATTTGTTACTTTAATCTCTGTAATAAAATCGCCGTAAGTGAATTCCTGTGTTTTTTGCCCATTGTCCTCCTCTATAAAGTCGATATCAATGACACCGTCCTTTAATCCCGCAGTCGGCTGACGATTGTTATTTGTCTCGATTTCTGCCCATTCTGACTCCACTAACTGGGGAATGTGTATCACAGAATCACTTTTTTCAACACAATTTTCGTCTCCATCATAACAATCCTCGGAATTTGAGTCTGATGCATTGTCGTCGTCGTCACTTAAGCTGCCTATTGGATGTTCCTGTTTGGGATAATCCCCAGGCTCCCCGCGACCTCCAGATCCAAGTAATGTACGATCCGTTGATCTGTTTTGATTTAATTCCCCGTCCTCATCGTCATCAACATCTACACTGACGACAGTCACAACAGAAGCACTACTACAAGACTCGTCCGAAATATAACCATCAAATATATCCTCGACCGCACACGTACGTACGGGCGATTCGGCAATGCTACTGTCGTCTGCTGGTGGGTTTAAATCCAGATCCCTACAGTGATGTTTATTAATGTCAAGCTTTGGAACGCGGCTTTCATTCATACAATGTTCGGTGTCACCAACCCGTGACCTCTCCCCTTCAATCACATTAACAATGGCGGGCCCCGGGCCTTCGCGCCGAGATGTAAACAAATCCACGTGGTCTGAGCTGGTGTCGTCTGCTCCAGGTACGACAGGTATATCCGCGGGATATGATGGATCACGCCTGTTTAACTCAGCGTGTATGACACATACAGGCGAATCTACATCCGTCCCCTCGTCAGTTTTATTTATACCTGTCCGAGTTTCATCGTTATCACCTTCATTTCCGCGATGATCGTTGACGGTGTCATTGACTTTATCTCCAACATCGCTTGAAATACCAGAATTTGGTGTTTTGTCATACGTATTTTGATCACTGTTTTCATTCACATATGCATTGTCATTGTTTCCAAAGTTTCTCTTACCTTCGTCATTTTCATCATTTGATTCATCCTCGCTAGCACACATGTCATCTGAATCTTCCTCTATAATAGGCTCCAAAGCATTCGAATAATTTGCATCGTCGTCATCATCGGAATCGATCATGGGGGGCTCGTACTCGCCCTCCTCACTGTCACTAGTTTCACTATCACTACTTTTGTCTCCCATTATGTTAGTATAACCGTCATTTTCCACTATGCTGCGGTACTCGCGGTTCACATACTGCTCGTCCTCACCCTCAGACGTCGTAACGACACCCCCTCCATCGGGGTCACTGCTATCCGATCCTCCCGTATAACTCTGGTCCGAGGATTCGGACCTGGTCCTCACATTTGACGTCATGAAGTCTTTGGGTTTTCTCCGCGTGTTTATATTCCAGTAAGCATCCTCCTCCCAATTATTGTACCCCCATGCAGGCTGCTCATCCCCATCAGATTCATTCACCTCCTCTCTATGGGCACCAACGGACTGTGCTGTCTGATTTTCGTCCTCGTCCATTGGGGGTACGTTATGTCCGGACATTCTATAAGTTGACTGTGAAGAATGTGACTGACTCTCGTGTTTACATTCCATTACATCGTGACCTGAGGTCATATGTGATCTCTGATTACTGACGGGTATGGGTACTCCATGGGGTCCCTGATGTCTGCTCCCGTCGCTGTCACCTTGCTCTTCCGGGTCACTGGGCGGGCCACCACCCGTCGCACCCTGCACTGCAAGCAAATGTTGACGAATTTGATATGCACTCACATCACCGTTCTCATCACCATTTTCAACTAAAAGCCTCCAAGAAAACATGATGGTTATTATTGTAGCTATAGCGGCCGTGAGGAACCTTTCGAATGCCCCGTCAGCCCCCACCGTGGTCCCCGTGCCTGTGTTAGTAGCCCAGTTCTCCATGCTGTTTTCTCCTATCTGTCAACTGGACACACTTCACTGATCTCCTTACTGTAATTTGTACCTACCGGCACAACACAGGTATACACTACATACATACACATATACAGTGTGTTCTGTTAACCAGTCAGTCCTTGCCATCAGCATGGTCGTTGTTTACCGTCTCAATCTTACCAAAAAATGCCAGATGAAATAACAGTGTCCTTGCGGGGTACATATACGTTCCACCCGCTAACATTCCCACACTCACCTCAAAACATCTCGAGTATTTTGTGAATGTACCACATCGACGAATGTTTAGAATAGATCGAGATTCCTTGCGGTGTTATCCAATGGAGCGTCAGAGCTGGGTCACATGATACCGAGGCCGGATCGATACTACAGTGTTATTAGCGATCTGACACACATGAGCTTGTGTCGTTGGGCTGACAGCTCGCGACGTTAACTTGTTTTAACACTCACTAATTGTCCACTTGTTTATCAAAGATTAATGCCTCACCTGCGATAATCTAGCTGACGGCGGCAGGTCAAAGGACACAGATACTGTCACAGCGTTTCGCGCTCCCTGAGGATCCGATGTAAACATTGGACGGAGCGATAAGCCTTAACCGTGTGTGTACCGACATGGACACGTGTGTTTTGTTCGGGTGTATGTCTACAGATTTAATTTCTATTTCAAATGGTGACGTAAGCATTTGGTATAATTCCACGAGTCAGTTGAAGGCCATGTATTGTTGTATTGGTCGTGTACAGGTGTTACCGACTGTGTATTTATATTTATAATTATACCGTACGGTCTGGTGGGCCCGTCTACGACATGGTGGAAACTGGTTATCATAGCATATTCCAATTATTAGTATCAGTATTGAAAGATAAACAAACAAAAAGAAATAGCATGCAATGTTTATAATGAGTAGTATTTGCAGAATAATATGTAAATCAACAAAGTTCAATGCTTACCTGCATATATATTGCATCATAAGTAATCAATATAAAGTATTAAAGATTTACAAATAGTTCCTGTTGAGCTTAGATTGATCTATTCTCGGAAAGTGTCAGTTGGCCTTGTTCTTGGCGAGGGTGGTTATCAATTTGTTTTCGACATTAGACCTCCGGAGCTGGGTTAACTAGGTACTTGTACTATACATGGGACAATGCCATGCATAGATCTAACAAATTACACTGTTTATTCCTCCACACGCCCACCTTTAGTCAGTTTTAAACTTTTAAAGTCGGTGAATAGTAAAACCAGACAAGCGATATTGATTACATTGTGGTTAGCAGCGAGCTACTGTTACATTTTCTCAATGTGTAAGTCTCTGATTGTTATGTCTCGACGCTGTGCACAATGTAAAGTTACACGTTTAATTATGAATCAATAAAACGTAGCAATATGGAGAACATCGAGTAAAAGTCCTTAAAACGTACGTGTACAAACGTCACATAAACTCCGTGTCACTAGAACCTATATCAATCCTATATGTCTTGTTGAATCGCTTCATTTTGAGAAATATTCGATGGACATTCAAATAGAACTTGACAATTCATAACTGATTTTATTATTCTCTCCTATCAGTCTCAGAAAACTGCCTATCATAATTTAATATGAATTGAATTTGTAGATATCAAGTCCATCTACATGTATCACTGTAGTAATTAGGTAGCTGTTGTACTAGGCGTACTCATTGATTATTAATATCATACATACTGCCTGAAAACGCGAAAATAATTGACTTACATTCTTTTTCAACGTTAAAAATGGTAGATATATATCTTCACAATAAGTGTTGCAAACGATACTTTGTTACAACAACGACCATGTACGGGGTTACGAACTTATATACCTGTTTTGGAAGAGAAAAATAATGATATAAACTAGAATGTCTGAAGTATTTTCTGGAACAAGTCGGCGAGATAAGTTATCGGGTATGGCTTCTGAGATTTGTTCAATATTTGTAGAGTATTCACCATAAATTGAGTCCACGAGATACATGTTAGTATATACCCTGTTTTAATGGCGACACTCGTGTAGCTGATGTTGTGTGGACGAAATAAATGTAATCGCCAGATAACGCATGTCAGATACCATTCCCTATCAGACGAGTAGTGCCAGTATGTATTTTTTTCAACAGAACAAGTATGATAGAACAATATTGTACGTCGATTTACCCTTTAAATACCTAATCAGACTATGTCAATATGTACACAGACTGCTCCGTACCTATTTACATAACAGTTTGTTATTGTCCTGTACCGTCACGCGCAGATCGTATTGATCACATGCAGTACCTAACAGCGAACAGCTAATTACGTGGCGTTTTATATCGTCTGTTATATTCTACTCAGAACATCTTTTTTTGTAACACTTATCATATATGACGGTGGATACCATGTTTAACGTTGAAAAAGAATGAAGGTTAATTACTATTGCGTTTTCAGGCAATATGTATGATATTAATAATGAACGAGTCAGATTAAGTGTGTGATACACTTGTATATCTAAGTATTTATATAGACGTGGTCACACCTAATTCATATCTATTAACGACCTATTCATCTGATGTATACCCGGTATTATATCATGTTTTATGTATCGATCCTACATCTGATGTATACACGGTATTATATCATGCTTTATGTATCGATCCTACATCTGATGTATGCCCGGTATTATATCATGCTTTATGTATCGATCCTGCATCTGATGTATACCCGGGATTATATCATGTTTTATGTATCAATCCTACATCTGATGTAAACCCGGTATTATATCATGTTTTATGTATCGATCCTACATGTGTACATGTTCGACATTAAATATTATGAGTCTGATTATTAAAAATGGAATATTGAGAGGTCGGAGTAAATAAAACAAGTCCATAAAAATGGCACTAATAGGTCATGGCATTGTTATGAACATGTAACTAACACGACGTTGTGATAGATGAGGGCAGGGCGCCACGGGGGTTGGGGACGGGGCAAGATTTATGATAACAAAATATAGGTTATACAAAACTGTACACAACACAGCCGATGACTGACCTAACGGAACGTGTCTGAAATAGATCTTATGTGATCGATACGGTAGAGAAACATGACGGAATTCTAAGTCTGCGGTAACACTGTTTGAATCATCACACATTTAGTTGGTTTATTCTGGTAACAATATGTTTACTCTTAACAGGAAGTTATGGACGATATCGGTATCACATACATTTGTGATAGCAATATGATAAGTTAAACTGAACGTTATTAACCTTGGTGGGGTTCTAATTACCAGGAATGAACATTACGTAATCAACGTGTTTAGTTGTCACCTGTCACTGCTATTTATATTTTTATAACTCGCTGTGTTTAATGTGTTCGTAGTACATAGAGATTTTCAGGGCCACGTTTGACCCCATTGCAGCAATGTGACCAAGTTCATATATCTTACTGCATCAATCTGACCCAGATCAGATCTTACTGTTGTCATCTGACCCAGTTTAGATACTTTTTGTAGCCATCTGACCCAGTTTAGAGCTTGCTGCCTGTATCCATCTGACCTAATTTAGAGCTTGTTGTAGCTCTATGACCCAGTTTAGACCCCAATGCAGTCATCTGACCCAGTTTAGAGCTTGTTGTAGCTATCTGACCTTGTTAAGAGATTGTTGTAGCTATATGACACAGTCTAGACCCCAATGCAGCCATCTGTCCCAACCTAGATCTTACTGTAGCCGTCTATGTGATAAAGTTATTACTAAATTATGCCCCAGTTCAGATCTCACTGCAACTGTTTGGCCTAATTAAAAGTATATCACATCCAGGTAATATATGTCACCTGATTAAAAGTTGTATTAGAGGTTATCCAGTCTTTCTGATCAACGGTTCAAGTAGTTTCAAACAGAAAACAACCGAATATAAAGGGCCCTTTAAATAACATAACAATTGAATCAGATCGTTCTTATGCGACTGGAGAAAAAAAGAAAATTGTACAACCCAAGAGACAAAATCTTTAGACTTCTAACAGAACAGCGATAAGTGTTTTATATATAGTTATACAATATCGTGGGAACAACGGCCCTGTCTTTTAACCGGTTTCCCAAGTATATCATACCGGAGGAATTAGGTCACTTGTGGGGGTTTTAAATGCAAAATAAATCAGATCATTGCGATATTTGCAGAAGATACTATCTTAATGCGATGAAATTATTGATAAACATTTAGGAAGGACAGATCAGCAATGAGCCCCGGGAGAATGGCACCTTGGTGAATGACCGTCTGCTGACTAGTCCAAACTGTCTGTTACATAATACGTATACCCTTAGTTCTCTGTCCATTTTGTTACACATATCTACACTTCTACAATTGTTACGAATACCATCAGCGCGGTGACATCATAAAGTATTGATTTTCAGATTTTACAACACTAAGTATGAACAAACATGTTATATGGGACAATAAGATCCAAATTGTTCGTCATATTCACCGAGACCCAAACAAGGATGTCCAAAATGTACACGCGTTTACTTGGTCTGATGACGTTAGCCCTGTTTTTACCATTGCCAGTTAATAAGGGATAACATAGCTCTTATATTATCTTCAGTCGTTTTCGACAATATTTACATCATTATTTAATGCTTCGTCGTTTCCCGCAACAAGATGCAGGAGGCGGTTTACTGAATCAGGCAGCTGGTTGTCCAGGTTACATAGTAAACAAGTATGCGTACACCGACAACTTTGGAAAACGGTCTACATCTGTAAGAATCTCTGGAGAACGGTAGCGAGGATCAATCTTATCGTAAAAACTGTTCGCTCTTGTCCTTTGTCTTGGTACTTGACATATTTCGTGGTAATAACTTACTAAATCATAAATAAAGCTCGACTGGACAGACTTTACGTGTTAACTGTCAATGTGTCGACGTTTTGGGATTTTACTACAATTTCGATAAGATCTATCGTGTGAGCAGGCGGTATACATCACGGACGGCTCGTGAACTCAGTTGATACACTATTCTATGAGAGACTACGACCTCATGATGACGATACTATTAAGTTGACGTCAAATGACGTTACAGGTACATGTATATTACACCGATAGCACGCAACACATACACACGACCCGCCTATACAGGTAGGATAATAGAGAAGGCATAACACATGACGATACAAGTGATACACACGACCCGCCTATACAGGTAGGATAATAGAGAAGGCATAACAAATGACCATACAAGTGCAATATTTTAAAATCATTAAAAATATTTTAAAAGGAACAAAATGAATTGCGCATGTTTATGTGTTATAAGTAGGTTGATTATGTGTAGTTGATTGGAGTACGGTGCTTAACGGTGGCTATACGTTGATCTGTATGTAATCTAAAACAATTATTGAAACGGTTAAACCTCGAAGTAATCAACTTGCATTTGTAACGCAGCTGATATAGATGCAAATGTCCGGTCTGGGGGTCATTTGGAGGTCAGCTACCCCGTAAACCTATATATCTTACCTATGGTTATGATCGGTCAGGAGGTGGCTCCCCCTAGGGTAGACCCGATGTCCGAGGTAACACGTCACTCGCCATACCTGAAACAC